AGCTGCGAACTGAAGCCGATTGGGATGTTAGTCGTTGGATGGCACGGAACGTTACGGTGGACGATGCGGCCCTTTATGGGAACCTGGAGTCTAACGAGGTCTTTGGGAAGTACGCTAATGCGGTGTGGAGCCCCGCTTCTCCGTAACGAAGGCCCCGCCCACTACATTGTTTATACTAATGCTGGCGCAGCTTTGGTGTATTTTCCGACTCTTTTTCATTACGCAATGCAGCAGTGCTTTGTGTGTCTTTGGCATCGAATAATACATGAGCTGCGTAACATGACAAATGAGGAAGATGGAGTGCTGAGTGCTGAGGTGTTGACGTGAAACCGTTCGGCAAGGCGGGCTTTCCCGCGGCTGCCGAGTCGCCACGGTCAACCACCAACGCCAAACACACATTGTCCCAACTGGAGGCGATACCATCCACGCTGAACCCGCGCAGTACCATGGTTGGATTGAAGCAACCCCAAGCGAAGCCCAGCAGACGGGCGTCTGTACCAGCTGCGGAAAAGAAAGTGGATGAACGTGCACCCATGCCGATGGTAGTGGAAGCCAGTCAGGACCCTGCCCGCAATAATCCTCCGCACGTGTCATCCATCATGAACAGAGTACCTAGTGCGCTCTTGCTCGTGGTACGTTACACATTCGATTCTGCTATAAAAACTAACACTTGTTCTGATCACACGAAGTCTCTTTGCTCTTAGCTAGGACTCCTGGTTTTTTCGACTGGTATACTATCCGACTTTAATCGGATCTCAAGTATGTTCTCAGCTCAACATGGCCTTCAATACGACAGTTCTGCTCCTCACGGGACCGCGACATTCGAGGTGAGCTGAGCTTCCAAACCCCCGACCGCACAACAGGGTCTCAGGTCTGGTACAAAGACTGTCCCAGGATACTTCGTCCATGATGAACCAGCTTTAGATCAGCTTGCCTTGAGTCCAGTGCGTTTCTCTCAGGACTGGATTGGATAAGGCCGATGACCCAACCGAATTTGCCGCCAGCCTCCGCCTCGGTTCGGCCTGATCGACTCTTCTCCAGGTTATTGGACAAAGTTCAAGGCGACGGTAAAGAAGCTTAATGACGAGGCTGGACCTTCGTGCTCTTACAAACTTGTCTTCATCGGGAGACACGGGGAGGGCTACCGTATGTTTCACGATCTCTGGGTTGGATAGCTTTTGTCTCATCGACTATTGGCAACGCAGACAACGTCGCCGAAGCATTCTATGGGACTAAGGTGAGAGATTAAAATGCAACCGAGAATAAAAATCATTGACATCATTGTGTGGCTGCCAGGCATGGGATGAGTGAGCTTTCCCCGTTGGAACACAGTTGCACCACGTTTACAGGACTAACCATAACATCTTTTAGTTATTGGTCCCTCCTAAACGGGAACGGGACAATAACATGGGGCCCTGACGCCAAACTGACAGAGCTTGGCATCGAGCAAGCTCGAATGGCGCACCAGCGTTGGGTCACTGAGCTCCATTCAGGCGGTGGGATTCCTCTTCCGACAAAGTTATACTCGAGTCCCCTCAGCCGAGCGGCCAAGACTTTAGAGATAACATTTCAGAATGTCACTCACGAACGGCCGCTTATTATGGAGAACCTTCGAGAAGTTATTGGAGTGCATACGTGCGACAAGCGGTCTACGCGTTCGGAGATCCATCGAGCCTTCCCGGAGTTCAATATAGAGAAGGGTTTCAGAGAGGAGGACTTACTCTGGAAGCCGGATATCCGAGAAACTAACGAAGAGAGGGATGCTAGAGTCAAGCGAGTATTCGACAAAATACTGCAAACAGACGATACCTGTGGGTGGCTTCTGATCAATGTCGCCTCCCGCTTCGCTGACCAGAAGGCCTTAGACATTGGAATTGTCGCGCATGGTGGCATCATTCAGTCTTCGCTGCGGGTCATCGGACATCAGCCTTATCCTGTGATGACAGGGGGTGCGTACGCATTAGAGCGCCCGGAAATTTTGCTGAGTCTTGGCCACTTATTCAGGTGTTATACCACTTTTAATCAAAGTCACGTATACCTCGTAATGAAAATAGAGTCTGTACTTGATCGGCGCTGTCAACGTCTCCGAGTTCAGACGGTTGACCGGGCAGGTCTTGGGGCAGTTAAATTTCCTGCCAATGGTCTCCTACTCGCTCGTATTCTCCTCCATTCGAGAAGCCCTCCATATACTCGACAACCTCAATGAATCTAACGATGACTAGTGGTTGGCTTCTGTTGATCGCAGACATCGGGGCCTCGGCAGAATGGCACTTCCAGTTCACCCCTCCCTTTCCTGGATGTCAAGTCACATCACCCGTGATGTAAATACGCGGGCACTTCAGCAGGAGTATCTTCACAGTTGAAAGAGGTCGCCCGCGAACAACACGATACGTATGTGCGTGTACTGTCTAACTCCCCCACAACTTTCCCAGCGCTTGCAAAATCCAACACAGCAAGCTAACAAAATGCTGAGCTAGAGTGCGGGCATTGCGGAGCGCCCCCTTGTAAAGAACAAAACAATGATATCCGGAGCTATGGTTCGCCTAGGATGCCAAGGACTTAAGGTTGAACTGCTCCCTGTCAATTCCTCGGACCCTACCCGTGCACAAGCCTTAGGTTCCGCACATGCGACTTCATATACACATGCACATCGTACGGTATATTTCTCCTTGATGTCAACGGACCGACATCGAAAGCGGCATAAGATGGAGAAGGTGCCAGTGATTGGTTAGCGGGCCCAACGGTGTCATCGTTCCTCCGAGAAGCAGAACCAACCCAGACGGAGGCTTCGCTTCCCTTTCCAATGAGTCCCTCCCTTGTGAGCGAAGGCGACTCAACATACTGCCCTCGTATAAGAGAGCGCTTACCTCGGCCGTTCGTCCTTCGTCAGTCAGTGCGATCGTTCCACTTCCCTCCACGGTCCTTAACTCGAAACGCTCGTCTCAATATGAAGGTCTCCGCTCTTTTCTTTGCCTCTCTGACTTCCATCCCTTCTTTTGTTGCTGCTCTCGCTGTTCCCGAGGTTGTTCCTCGCGATGAGACTCTTGCGAAGCGAGGTGGCGAAGTGAACTATCTTACCTATTGCTTGCGGGCCAATGTGAACAATATGGCCGACGCCTACCATGCCTCGTACATGGTGTGGTATTCGAACATCGACAACACCCAGAGCGGAAATCCTGTACGCTAGCATAAGTTCCTTCACCGGCCCAGATAGCTGACACGCTTTATTTTACTAGCACCCTGGTTCGCTTTCCAGCGAATATAGAGACTGGGCAGTCGGAGGCACGCCCGCTTTGCCTAACATACGAATTTACCTTGAGCTAAGCAGTCTTCTATTTTCAGGCGACTGGCTCACCTGGGAAGGACAACAGCAAAACATCTACTTCCCTGACTCTGGGGTTACCGTCCAGACGCATATCGACAGCGGCGCTCAAGACCGATCCGTTGGTTCCTGGGCTGGGTGGGCTCAGCGCACTTCCGATTGGAAGACGTTCAACTGCTATAGAGTGCGTGGCGAGTTGGGGCTTTCGTGATCAATTCTCATAAACGGACACTTGAAACAGGATAATAGTCGCCTACTCTTCTCTTGGAGCCCTCCGAACCCTCCGGTTCCAGATGGGACCAATAAAGGCATCTATTGCTGGTCCAGTTACTGGTGCGTTTAGGTGACCGAAGGGCCTCTCATGATGTATCTCCTTCGTTTTCGGGTGAGGTCTAGTCTGGTCATTGTTCCGAGCATTGTACACCACCGCTTGTCATCGAAGTCGTATCTATTTTGTGACGATTTAGTATCTAAGCTCACTCGTCACCCGCGCCTTCTATTTCCATCGATTCCAGGCGCTCCAGCATTGCTAAGTCCAAGTTTTGGGTCTCTACTGTTTTCTTCGCTTGTCTAGAGGTGCGCCGCAAAGACGGGCCGGGTTCGTCAATTGCGTCATCACTGTCTCCGTCCAAGTTGTCATAGTTCACGTCTCCTTGAGAGTCACTGTCGCCTTCACCAGCCTTGGCTTTGCCCTTACCGCTGCTACCATTGCCTCTTCCGCCACCTCCAGCCGCTCCTCGCCCCCGACCACGACTTCTCGAACGACCCCTACCGCGACCTCTACCTTTCGTAGGGGAGTCACCGCTGTCGTGTCCGTAAGCCGCCTTGTCCTTAGGGAGCGTTTTCCGTTTTCGGGGGCCTTGGAAAAGCACCGGAGGAGGTATAGTGACATCTTCCCCACCAGGAAATGCCTCTGGATTACGAGGTCTGAGCTGCACAGGTTCAAACGTAATGCGCTCCGAAGTGGTTCCCAGGTGAGTGACGAATCGGCGAGAACGGTTATCAGGGTCTGCGGAGTATTACTGGAATGAGCCCACTGAGAAACAAGGAGTAAGAACATCGATCAACTTACCGCGACCATCAGCAAATACGAGCTCTGAGCCGATGAGGGCACTGTGGGTCCCTCTCATTGTGATTCCTGGAAGCTGGAGGTAAGGAGTTGGGGTATCAAGGCCCTGGAAAAATATATTAGCCTGCAACTAGGAAGAGAATAATATTAGAACATACGATTAGCTTGCAAGAGGATGCATTAAGCAGGAGGTTCTGATCAATGTTGCCAAGGTCAAACGTGACATAGCTTGTCTGCTCTCTGGACCGTCAACAAGACATCTTGTCAGCGAGAGGGGGATACTCTTGCCTCGTACTCATAGTCGTAATCATCTTCTTCCGGAGGAAATTCTGAGACCTCCAGACCGTTTGGAAAGAGTCCAGCCATACAGCTTTTCACTTTGTGGCGGTGGTTTGGACGGGTTTGGCTTGCGGAGTTTGGAAGCTAGATCTAGTCGTTCCGTATTGACCGAGTGTAGGCGAGTTACTAGGTTACATGTCACATACCACGTGCTTCCGTGCAACAATCAAACCTACTTTGAGCTAGTATTAGCTATGCGGGAAGTGTTCTATCCTGCGGTGCGGGGTTTGCTATCAGACTAGTACTTGCGTAGCCGAATGCTCTTCAGCAGCCCCTATGGTCTAGTGGTACGATACCCCCTTCGGGTCTAATTCCCGCCATTTCTGGCAGAATTGGGGGTGGTCCTGCGTTCGAATCGCGGTGGGGGCCAATCTTTTACCTCTTAGTGAGTCATGCCGACTCGATGAGGACAGCTTTGCTGCGGTCCGGAGTTGGGAAGATGCCTTTTTTGTTCCACATTCGACTCAAAATCTTTCACAGCAGCACAACGTCATCTGGCCCCATCACTCGCACGGCTAACTGCGTACTCGTAGTTAGCTTTTTCGGGACGCCGACTCCTTAGCTGGCCCGAGCTGTGAGGCCTTAGCGTGGGCGGTTGGAACGCCGGACGCCACAGTTTTGCCGATTGGCACAATTCACGCGCTGTGGCCCCCGTCCTAGTCGATAAGGACAGGCACAATTACATTAAACGGGACGGCCTCTACAATATAGCAAGGTTTTCCGATGCACTGCCATCTGCTAAATATCTCGGCATTTTTCAGCACCACCTCGTGTATCCCCTGCTCGCGTCGTGATTCGTCGACGAGCTCTCAAGACGGGGCCCCTCCAACGACGAATGCGGTAGAACCAAGAATACCAAGGTTATCGGAGGACAGCCGGGGCTTGCATGGCCCTGCACTCCACGAGCAACTTTGAATATGGCCACCCTTCGATGCGCATGGGCACTGCAAGCCGGACAAGCATAAAGGACGAGCACTTCACTCCTTCACCGGCTCCTCACCACCTCTACATCCTAATCCAAATCGTGAGTATAGTCCCTTTTGCAAAGTCGATTCCGAAGCGACTGACTCCGTTTTACAGAGCAAGCCTTCCAGCTTCACCTCCTCGCACATCCCGTCGGCCTTCTCTCACAAGCTTTGAGTGTGTCTTTAGTTCCAGGACATCATCCATCTGCGAGCCTGACGAGAATTGATTCTTTCGCAGATATGCCCATGGACGAAATGGTCGACGATGCCATTGCATGCCCATTCTGCGGCGAGGGCGCTTATTCCCAGTCCAACAAGGCTGAATTGATCGCCCACATCCAGTCGCACTCCTGATAGAGCTTCGTATAATACTTTTTTTTTTTGGCATTCTTGTACTCTTGGGTTTCTTTAATGATGAGATGTTTACTTGGGTGTTTACTGGAAGCGTGGGTGACTTGGAGTAGATCGCTGCCCGTCGAACATCGAATGTGCAGACTGACATAATCAACGAGCTTTCGTCCAATCACCGTCGTTTCAATCCCAACTACAACCTGTCCCCTTCCCGTATTTCTCTCCCATCCCGCTCCCTTCTATCCCTTCGATGATCCGGTCAGCAGCAGGTGCGCCTCTCATTAAATATAACCATTCATGAACCAGGCTCTGAAAAACACTCGCAATAGTCCACGCTGGTCGGTCTTTGCGACGTCCGACGTCACATGCGAAAGTTGTCGCCTCAAGAGGTCTTGCCACCGTCGCGGATCCGCCAGTCCGACATTACGGTGGTCTAAAAGATCAAGACCGTATATTCCAAAATATTCTCAGCCGCCATGACCACGGTATTAAAGGTGCTATGGTACGTCCCGAGTTCAGCCGGCCATTTGGCTCTGGATGAAAACATCCCACACTGTAATAGGCTCGCGGTGATTGGCATAGGACAAAAGATATCCTCCTCAAGGGAGACTCTTGGATCATTCAACAAATAAAGGACTCTGGTTTAAGAGGTCGTGGTGGAGCCGGCTTCCCCAGCGGATTGAAATGGAGTTTCATGAACAAGCCTGGATGGGAGAAGGACCCTCGGTATGTACTTGAACCATTCCTCTCCAATGCATATTTTCTAACATTCGTCTTTGTAGTCCCCGCTACTTGGTTGTCAACGCTGATGAAGGCGAACCTGGCACCTGCAAGGACCGTGAAATTATGCGAGGCGATCCGCACAAATTGGTCGAGGGCTGTCTCGTTGCCGGCCGTGCCATGAACGCTACCGCGGCTTACATCTACATCCGTGGAGAGTTCTACCAAGAGGCATGTCACCTTCAGCAAGCCATTGACGAAGCCTACAAAGCTGGGTTCATTGGCAAGAACGCCTGCGGCTCCGGATACGATTTCGACGTCTACGTCCACCGCGGAGCAGGAGCCTACATTTGCGGAGAGGAGACTGCTTTGATCGAATCGCTAGAAGGAAAGCAGGGCAAGCCTCGTCTTAAGCCCCCGTTCCCAGCCGATGTCGGTCTTTTCGGTTGCCCCTCCACCGTGGCCAACGTCGAGACCGTCGCTGTTGCCCCAACCATTGTCCGACGAGGTGCAAGCTGGTTTGCTTCCTTCGGCCGTGAGCGGAACCAAGGAACAAAGCTGTACTGTATCAGTGGTCACGTCAACAACCCTTGTGTCGTCGAAGAGGAAATGAGTATTCCTCTCAAGGACCTCGTTGAGAAGCACTGTGGTGGTGTCATCGGCGGATGGGACAACCTATTGGGCATTATTCCTGGTGGCTGTTCGGTACCCATCCTTCCTAAGCCCACGTGCGAACAAGTGCTGTGAGTGTTCGTAACAAAATTTGTCCCGCCATCATACTAACCTCGTGTGGCAGCATGGATTTCGACTCTCTCAAGGACGCCCAATCTGGTCTTGGAACTGGCGCCGTCATCGTCATGAACAAGAGCACTGACGTGGTTTCCGCTATCGCTCGGTTCGCCAAGGTAAGGGCGTGGTATCCACCAGACAAGCCTTGAGCTAAAGTTTCCCTCGCTAGTTCTACAAACACGAATCCTGCGGTCAATGCACGCCATGCCGAGAAGGTACCACCTGGATGATGAACATGATGGATCGCTTTGTTGAGGGTCGCGGGCATGTTCGTGAGATTGACATGCTGCTGGAGTTGACGTACGTTTCCTTTTCGTTCTGTGCGGAGTATGATCTCTAATCTATTCCGTCAAAACAGAAAACAAATCGAAGGTCGCACAATTTGCGCGCTCGGTGACGCTGCTGCATGGCCAATCCAAGGTCTCATGAGGCACTTCCGTAAGTTCTACATTGTTCAGAGACACCACGGCCCGCCCGTTGCTAACTTGACTCTTTCGCTAGGCCCCGAAGTCGAGAAGCGTATCGCGGATTATCGGGCCAAGCACGGCAAGGTGCTCTTCGGCGGCAAGTTGGTAAGCGACGTCGACCATACGCATGCTATGCCGGACAACCTGGGTGCTTTCCTTCCCGAAGTCGAGGCTCCAAAAACCCAGTCACCGTAATTCTGTCCGTACACCATGTCGATCGATATATTCATTTTATTTTCATCCTTGTCGCAATCGGAAAATCTTAGACATTCGAACGATTATGTGATCGTTTCGGTCCACATGGGGGGCCAGGTCGTTTAAAATGGCGAGAGTTTAAGCCACGGCAATCCTCGGTCACTCCGTGATGCATGAAGTTTGACGGGTTAAACCGTTGAGGTCGAAGCTTGCCTTTCGGCCAACTGCAGTTGCCATCGCTCGACAACCAGATTTACGATATCCGTCCACTCTGTCATCGCACCCACCCCTGTAGTGCGGACCGGTAGTCGGTATCAGATGGGCGTTCATTACTCTCTCTCCAAGTTTCTCAACTTACCAATATCGCCGCAAGCGAGGCCTTTCCCGATAGGCCCAATTACAGAGTAACCGATGACCTCTTGCACCGTTTTTAGGTGAACAGCCGTTAAAGGGTGATTGTACATCATGGTATTCATCGCCGGAAAAACGAACGTCGGCGTGGATGGGTCTAATGCCCGAAGCAGTGAAGTCTGTTCGTTTGTTGCATAAGCGACAAAGCGGGGTGGTGGTCGGGCAGATGCGGAATAAGAGATATAACTTACAGCAAGATTGTCACAGATACCCCCCGCGATCTTGGCCAGAGTGTTTGCCGAGCATGGTGCGATTAAGACAACGTCTGCCCAACGTCGAAGCTGAGAAGAGTTACCGTGTCATTCGGTGAGCTTTGAGTTAAAGACCACTCGCCTCAATATGCAAGACAGGATCGCCGATCTTCTTCCAGCTCTGACATAGGAAGAATCATTCGATGGGACCATCGAAGCACGGATGGTGGTATGCGAACTTACACTCCATTCATCATCGTCGGTCCAAACCCGAGCCTGGCGGCCACCACTGGTTTCGGAGAGCTTTTCGATATCCTCTCTGTTATAGAACACCAAACTAGACTTTGTAGCAACTACTTGAATCTGAACACCTTGATACTGGAAACCCCAGCCAAGATCAAGGATCAACTCTCTTCAGGCTCGGCCGTATAGCAGTGGGGGTGAGAGGCTTTCGCGTACCTCGAGGAGCTTCCCCACTATTAGGGGAGCCTTAATGGAAGCGACACTCCCGGTTGTGATTAACAGCACATGCACCGATCCAGGTACTCGAAATTCCGCTGCTGTAAATTGCTGTGCCATCGAGCACGTTTTATCTTGGCTATGAGGGTGGTGGTGAAGAGCTGGGTAAACATCATCGCGCGCACACCCAAGTCCATTGGCAATAAATAGAGGTATCCGACGGTGATAGGGATGCATTAGTAAGAACAAGGATGTAAGTACAAGAGACGACGACGGTCAGCCAGCCATTACAAATAGTTTGAAAAGGCGTTTGAACAAAATGCAGACAGGCCTAGCCGTCAGACGAAAAATCCCCGTTCCCAGTTCCGGTGTGTGTTGTTGAAAATAAGCTCGTCATGAAAAGAAGAAAAAGAAGAAAATTATCCAGACCCTCCATCTTTGCTTAAGAAGCGTCGTCCTCATCGTCTGATGCTTCAGCACCAGTCTCAGCACCCTCGGGATGAGGAATATCAAACTTGTTTCGGACCACGACAAAGTGCTTCAGCAACTTGCGTCTCGCTCCCAAGGCCGTAATACCCAATTCCTCCAATTCCTTGTCGTTCATTACAACCAAATCCTTCCAGGACTTGCCTTGGACGACGGGAGTGTACTTGTGCAGCCTCAAGGTATGGAACCAGGTCGGGATATCGTTCAAGAGAGTGATGTTGATATCGTCGTCCTTCAGTTGCGCCTTGGGTTTGGCAGCTGGACGGCCTGCTTTGTTGGCGGCACCACCACGGGTAGACGCGGGTCCTTGAGCGCCTGGGGTGCGTGCACCACCA